GGCTGCATCAGCAGGACTCTCTTTTCAGAGCCAGGGAGATCTTGCGGAGCTGTTCAGGGGCACCAGACCGAGACTCAGGCGCTCACTGCAGTGTCTGCAGAAGCAGACACCTGCCTCAGTTGCCAGAGGGGCAGAGCTTTGGATAACTTGGAGAATGGGGAAGAATTGCTCATTTTGTAAATGCTTTTTTGGAAAAGGAAACAATACTATAGTTTTGAGAAAGTGGTTTTGACATTTTGTGGGCATCATTTGTCACACTATCCTCGAGGGAAAGTCCACAGACATCCAAACATGGGTTTTGGTGAAACCTTTCCTCCCTGTACTGTAAGCCCCTGGCAACTCAAGGAGAGTCAAGACTCAGACTCTTGAAATCTCCCCCAGTTAGCGAAGGCTCAATGTCCAAGATGAGGCCAAGCCCCAGTTTCTAGTAATGAACTCTGATGGGACTACGGATGTGAGCCCTACAGCCCCACTGGTCCAGGATTACCCTGGGGCAAGCTTGCATCAGGAGAAAGCATCGACTATTGGCAGTGATGATGGCAATATCCTTTGCCAGGACCTTTGCTCTACAGCAAGTAAGTAAGCTAGGCTTATTTAAGTCACCTGAAATCATGTTTAATCTATTAGCATATCAGTGATTTTGCATTACATTTGCAGCAGAGAATGCGCCAGGCCTGCTCAGTTCCTGCCTTCCAGTTCCAGGGCACTAACAAGAAGTACTCTTTATGATCATCTGAGTGTATCCACACAGCATTGCTTTTCCATGCTGCATTTCAAGAACTAGCAGTTCTCCTCTTCCAAAACCAAACTGCTTATTTAGATGAAATTTCATCAAGACTCTTGTGGTTACTGTAGATGTGCATCAGTAAGAAATGACACAGCCCTTGTTGGACAACAGCAAACACTCACTGGCTTATGTATATAAGGACAAGTGAGTGCTAGGTCATATTTAATTTGCCCTTACCACACTGACCATAATTCCATGTAACCAGAAGAAAACATTGCATGATGGGGAAAACAGGCAGACCACAAACTAAGTATACACCACAAAATCCAGTACAGCATGTTGAGTAAGCAGATGTCACAGGAAGGAAAATACAATATAATGTAGGTACTGAAAACCTTCAACTGACATTTGCTCTTCTTTATTTCTGTCTAAAGATCTCTAATACCTGGCTTCATGATCTTATTTTTTATTCTTTCCAAGACAAAATGGAAAGCTTTTATCTGCAATTCTCTGAAAGACATTTTTCCCCTGTTCAGAAAAACAGGTATCTTCTTGTTACAGGTGAATTAATGTTCATCTGGTAGATGATTTCTGACCAACCAACCATTGACACTGGTGGGTTACTTTAGAGAAAGTCTATTTATGACCATAAAGAAAATTACTTTTAGCTGGAATCAGCAGCAGAAACAAAAGGTTTGTCAATCTTAGGTAGCCTGAGCAGCACCTTGTCCTTTAGCAGGGAGCTAGCCTCGAAACACAACACTAATAAAGGAAGAAGTGGCCCATAAGAGCATCAATCTTTTCTGTCCACAATCGCTCATAGAAACTACAGCTTAAAATCTCAGCAGGGAGCTGGATGTCAAGTACCTCATGCTTTGGAAGCACAACTTGAGAAATATTACAGGGGCTCAATTTTAAGGAGTCTTCTAAAAATCAGGCTTTGTTTTGGGCATCATAAGCTGTTCAGCATTACCAGCCAGATGCTAAGATCTTGGGCAGATAGTACATCGTCCCATAAGCAATATGTACTTCTTTACAATAGGAACTCAATCTGCTGTTTGTAATGCTTGGCATTCTAACCTCAATTAAATACACCAAGTAATCTGCAGGATATGTCTCTGAGCATGCTTACATGGTAATAATGATGTTAAAGTAGAATGGCCATATGATTTATTATGTCTTGTGAAATAAAGCAAAGCCAATCTACTACCACAAGAAGCACCATCACAGTAGAAAATGGAAACAAGAAAAAATTAAATACCACCCAGGCCTGGTTTAAACATGCAAACTTTCTAATAAAATATCAGAACCAGATGCTGCTAAAGATGAGTGATAATTAAAGAAGATAAATTAAAGAAATGTTTTTCCAGGGAATGACTCTACTGCGCACAAATTGTTTCAGCATGGGGGAAAATATATAATAAAATTACTGCTGCTGCCTGTTTTCAAAAGTTTCCATTAATAAGTGAAGGCAGGTTCCCTGCTAAATTCCCCTATATCCAGGCTCCCTCTTTGCCTCTGTTGGTTTAATCTCAGTGTGGTTTAGCAGAGTGAGCAGAGGACTGAGCGCCAAGAACTCGGTTCCAACACTGACTCACTGTGTGGGCTCCCTTATGTCATGCTCCAGGCAGGTCAGCCCTGAAAAGCATATCTCTAAAAATGGTCCTGAGGGGTCCAGAGCCTGACAATCTCCCTACTCTTGTGTCAGATGCGCACAGTTCACCAGAGGTTTTCCTCTGACCGCCAGTCCAGTAAACTGATCTCGGGGTAAGATGGTGTAATGTGATTTTTTTTTTGGCTTGGTGTCTCATCACAAGAAATTAGTACACTGGAAGCCAAATTATGCAGGCACCTGTGCAAACTCACGGCAGGAAACATGGCTGGAGCATTGCAGATAAAGGGTGGATTCAGCAGACCCACTAAGACCACCCTGGAGCTTTATGTGCCTGTGTATAAACTCATCTTAGTCCAGGCTGTTGTTAAGCTTCATTTTAGCTAAACACAACATGGTGTTTAAGCCCCTCAAAGACTTTTAATTTTTTTTACATTTCTCGCATGCAGCAAAGTGCCTATCTAATTGTCAAAGGCATTTTTGTAGCAAATAAAATAACGTGCTGCACCAGAAGAGGAAAAGAATAAAATGAAACCACGTAAATACATGGCCTACTTCCCTTTTAACCACATGTTCCCCAGGCTCATAACCTCTGCAAAAGCCTATGAGGAATAATGTGGTTTGCAGTGTGCCTGTAAGGTCAACAAATCTGGCCTGTTTCAGGCTGAACAAGGGCTCAGACACAGGATCAGGTTCCCCTTGCTTACTGAGTGTCTGTGTGAGCGCTTTGCTTCACACACAGCAAGCGAAAGGTGAGACAGTGCGGCTTCAACCCACCTCATGTGGGTTTGTGTTCCTGGGCTCCGCTTCCCGTGCCTGAGGCACTGAGAGGACACGCACGGTGGTTCACTGCAGTTCGACTGCCTCTCACAAACCGGGGTAACACAGTTGCATGTCTTGTATGCAACTGTGAAAGCAAAGGGAGCATCGTGAAGGACACTGGGCTCACAGCTCTTTCTCCTGGATAGCAAAGTCAAATGGAATGGATGAACACACACGGAGTCAAGAACAGGGACAGGCCTCTTGAGCACGCAAGCTCCTAGCTATTTGCAGATGTTTTAGCTCAATTTGGGAATTTATCCTCGATTTGAGACTCTGTGCAAGCTAAATCTGTCCACAGGTCAGTCTGCTGGCCCCAGCCATGTGGTGAGGCCAGCTGCACTCTGCACTTCTTCCACCCCAGCCTCCTAGGAGGGAGGCTGTTGCTGCTGTGCTGTGCAGGCACAGGGGGACAAGGGCTATGGATGACGGTAGCTAGGGCTGATTCCAAAACAGTAACAGGCATGTTCTGCAGGCCAGACCCAGAGACAGAAGAGCAATGCTGATCACAGCTCTCCTTTAGTCCTTTAAAAAGTACATTTATTAAGACCCTCTACCCACTGCACTTTGAACTCTAAATAAGAAGTGTTGGTTATGCATCTCACAGGGAGACTGGTGATCTCTCCTTGATCTCTGCTTCAGTCCTCATGTTACCAATGCTGCAGGGCATCTGCCCCCAAATCATGCTTCTCACCAGCTGGACAGACTTCCCTGGACATGCTGAAGATTCAGTGGGAAAAGAAGAGGAGGGGAGGAGAGGGGAGGGGAGGGAAAGGTTTGGGAAGGAAAGGGAAAGGCTTGGGAAGGTTTGGGAAGGTTTGGGAAGGGAAGGTTTGGGAAGGGAAGGTTTGGGAAGGTTTGGGAAGGTTTGGGAAGGGAAGGTTTGGGAAGGTTTTGGGAAGGGAAGGGAAGGTTTGGGAAGGGAAGTTTGTTGGGAAGGAAGGTTTGGGAAGGGAAGGTTTGGGAAGGGAAGGTTTGGGAAGGGAAGGTTTGGGAAGGGAAGGTTGGGAAGGGAAGGTTTGGGAAGGGAAGGTTGGGAAGGGAAGGTTTGGGAAGGTTTGGGAAGGTTTGGGAAGGTTTGGGAAGGGAAGGTTTGGGAAGGGAAAGGGAAAGGGAAAGGGAAAGGGAAAGGAGGAAAGGAGTCATGAAATGGGGTGTGTAATTTATATATGAGGGAAAGTTTAAATCAGTGTGATTGGCAAGAATACAATGTTACTAAAAGCCAGAGACACGCTAATTGGTGAGTAATTTAAGTAAACTCTATTGATCTTGTAAGTTCACCAGTTTTCAATTTTCACTTTTGCTTGTAAACAGCTCAGAAAATAAGACTTAACCAGAAGCACATGATCAGTGACTTTTTCATCCATTTTTTTAGCAAATGTAGCTTCTGTATCTTGAGCGGTGCTCAGGTTTGACTAAGGGAACAGTTACAGAGAGCTTCCCTTGACTCACCTAAGCCTCCTCCAGAGAGAGTTGGAGCAGGCCAGGTCCTATATGCTTTCCATATTTCCATTATTTCCATTGCAGCTGCAAACCAAGATATTCTTTCCAACCATGGTCTTCACTGCTAGCAACCAGTCTTAGGTGTGTGAGAAATAACCACCAGAGGCCTGTGATACCTCAGCCATGGCACTGCAGAGGTGGGGGATTCTAAATGGTCAAGCTTGGTTCAGCTCAATTTTCTGCAGTTCTTACAGCCATGCCCAGCATAGAAGCTCTGAGCTGCTCAGAAATTTGACTGACATCATCAGCTTGCTGACAGTAAAGGAATGTGACTGTTGTGTAATGATTCAAAGACGAGTTTAGTTCAACAACTCATGTAAAGGAACGAAAAAAGAATGCTTTTATCCCATTATCCCATTTATCCTTTATTATTTGGGCTGTAGTGAAGGCAAATTTGACAGTGTAGCCAAAACAGGTATCCCTGCCCATCCACTCTGCTCCTCTGCCACAGGTTAAGAAGGTCTTGTCCTCTGAAAGAAGCACCATTGTCTGCTGGCCGATCCTCAGCTGCCGCAATAGAGGGCTCCTTCTTCCCCTCGGAGAGAGCATCAGGAAGCAGGCACAGGCTATTCCACATTAAGAAAAATATTTACTTTACAAGCGCTGAAATAAAATTTGGAAAAGTGAAAAATAATATTTATTTTGATGATGTTAAATTGCATTAAAGTCGAAAGTGAAAATTAGACGCATGCACATACACCAAAGGCATTATTCACTAATCATAGGAACATAAAAGAACTGGAAAATACCCTCCTTCGCTGCCAGTAGGAAAGTTGATCTGGAATAAATTACAGGCAAAATGTATAATTAAGCAAGCTATTATTATCCAGTGTCTTAGCAGATGCTGACCTCGTTTATGGTGATTGGGATAAGAATTTGAGATTTGATTTCATAGCTATGTCTATGATGCCTTGGACCTGTTGTACTGCCCCAGAAATCCCCAGTATGCTAGCACTGGTATCTAAGTGTGGTGCTCATGGATTCCTGTCCTCCTCAGCTGCTTTAGCTTCTTGGAAAAGAGAAATGATTTCACTGATCTGCCAGCCAGCCTGCATACTTGAAACCTGTGTTTAATTACTTCGAAGAAGCTTTAATATTCTACCAGTATAAGGAGAGGGGACCTTCCACTGCAGTGCTATTCTCTTATTTTTTATTTTTTGCAGGTTTAGGCTTGTGGCTTAGTTACTGAAACAACAATTCCGTTGAAAATATCCTTGGCATGAGAGATGAGCTGCCAAAGTGTTATGGGCACAGTAATTTGTATATAGAAATGAGGATCCAGGGAACAACATGAACATCAGTGTCTGGAGGGGCTTATGATTAAAACATTATGCTGAGCTTTTATGATTTCTACAGCTAATTAGCAAGATTTACAAGCATCTAACAAAAACCAAGGCTGAACACAGTAATGATCCTTATTTTCCACTTGAAGCAGAAAACTACTGGGTTCTAAAATAGCAGGGAAAGGAAGAGGAAAAACACCCTTATCTTTTCATTTGCCCACAATTTAGACTAATTGCTACTCTTTTCAATAAGATGAGTGGATGTCTCTTAGGTGGCAAGCATGAAGTCTGTGACTTACTCACATTGATGGCAAAACCTTGTTGATTTAACAGAGAAAAGGTTTCCCGTTGTTTTGTTATGGTTTCAGACTAGCACTGGTTTTTGTTTTCCAGCAGTGTAGTGGGGGAATGCGAGGTGTCTGAAAAAGCCACTTCCACCAATATATACTTGGTTGATTCTGTTCCCCTGAGGTGCAAAAGGAAAAGGAGGAGGGTGGGGGGGACAGAAAAAATACTAAGTTACTCTGTAGAGCAATGAAGGGCTTAGTCTGCAGCTGTAGACTGCAAGGGCCTCTGCTGCTCCCAGGAGGGCTTCTGGCCAGCAGCGCATGGAGGGGATGTGTATGACCCCAGCCCTTCCCCTACAATTTTTGTATTTTCAGAAGCCCAAACATCCTCATGTAGTCACAGACTGAAAACCCCTGGCCAGCATTGTAAAACTTGTCTATTTTGCCTGAACAAACCTTTCAGCCAGAAAAGGAGACACTCTCCAGAAAACTTGATTGCATGGACATCTCATTGCACAGGATGAGCCTTACTCAAAGGAGATGAAAAACAATGATTGTTACTGAAGCCAGTGGCAAAGGAATTGCTCCAATACAGACCTATAGCAACTGCAGTCACATGTGGTGACTGATTTTGCGGTGATTGCAGCTAGCTCCTGTGTGCAGAACAACTGAGATTTCACCCAGAACACAGCTGGTTGTTTTGGCCAGGGTGTCCCTTGTCCAGGTTTGCCTTTGCGAAGAGACTCTCCAGCCACTGTGGGCATTGCCCTTTCCCTGCATCTGCATAGGGCACCTCTCCTGTTTCTAGCCAGGAATACAAGGACCACGGTTGGGTCTGCACTCCCCTGGCTGGGAGTTGTGACTGAGAGCCTCACTGGGCCCTCAGCTGCCTGGGCAGCAGTGCTGCCCTTGGAATAGCACTACATGTAGGGAGATATGCTGTTTGTACAGCCACCTGAGGCAAACTTTACCTTCAGAGGGCTGTAATCCATTTTTTCATGGAGGCAAACTTCTACTGGCAGGCACACCTTCCTGTATCCCTGGGAAGTGCTGTACCAACTGTAGGTCGCCACAATGTAATAATTAAAAATCACAGCTAGTGTGACCACAAAAGTCCACTTATAAAGTTCCATCTATTTATGCTAGAGATATACAGCATATCTCTGCTTAGAGATATACAAATACTAATATGCCACACTTTGGAGTATCCTAGCATTTTATCCTTTTTAATGAACCACTGTCATCACCTCCTTCAGTATTTTTTTCTCGTTCCTGTATTCCTAGACAGTTGGCCTAAATGGGTATAATGGGATAATTTCCACTCCAGTAATGGTTTGGCACTTACATTATACAGTGCTTGGTAGGTGACGCATCATTAAGACAGAGAATCTGATGAAGTTTATGGCGAGTCCCACACTGGAGTCATGCCATACTCTCCATTTTCACCTCCAAAGCCAGTCCATTTTTCTGGTGACATGGAGTAGGAGCAATTACACAGAAACATTTTTGGAGAGTTTCTGGTCTAACATTAGATTGGAAGGATAAGCCAGAGAACTTTCACTGAAGTGGTACCTTGGCCAGAGGTGCTTCAGACTATGCGAATGTCACATTGGCACCTCCTACTGCAAAATGTCCAGTGACAGGAACATCAGCAGAGCTTGACCTCACCATATAAAGCCAGGGTGTGTACGAGTACAAAGCTCTCAAAACAAGGCTGTGCGTGAAAGGATCTCATGCTGCTGTAAAAAGGAAAGTGGAAAAAAGGCCTGGCTTGGGCAGCATTGCTGGGACGCCAGCAGAGCTTGGATTAGTACCTGTAGCAGTGGGAGGGGACTAGGGCAGGGGGCACCCTGTCACAGGCAGCCCCCTGCATTCTTCATCCTCCAGCACAAAGAGCGGAGTCCTCCCAGCTTCCTTTACAGGTGTGCAGGGAAATGGGGGAACAACAGGCTGCTGGGGCTCTCTTCCCAAGCATGTGCGCTCCAGATGGGCCAGGAGTGAAAGCCAGTCAATATGAAATATTATTTATAATAACAATAATAACAATATTAATAACATAAGAACATCTGGTAGCATTTTTTGCCTCCATCTGGTAGGCTGGAGGCAGAGCATCCGGGTGACATGACAATCGGTATTTCTGTTTTCAATTTAGCCCCAGCTCAGCTGCTGCAGTTACTCAGAGAAAGGCGCTTCCAGGGACATGTCTCTGGCTCCTGGCTCGGCTGGCCCCGCAGGTGTCCCACCACTAACGGCAGAAGCACCTAAGATCATCCATGCCTAGGTTTCCTTTATTGGCTGTTTCATAAGAGATTGCAAGGGGCTTTTTACGCTTCCATGGCTCCTTTCCATCTCATCCTGTGAGGAAGTTGCCCAACTGCAAAGATGTGCGGTTTCGGACAGAAAACAAAAGCTAGCTGCTTTGAAATCAAACCAGAAACAGCCTTATTACGCATTTCACGCTATTGAAAGTATACTGGACTAAATACATATTTGAAATATTTTGGTATTATTTTGAATTCTGAGGCTTTCAAATTTGTCCAGTAAATATATCACTTCCACCTACAAAGACTTCAGTTTTGACATGCAACTAGCATCTAGCCTAAGAAATTAATGCTGTGGTTAAGAACAGTCCTCTAGCTAGCTTTTCTTTCCTAATTATACTGACAGAAAACTAAAAGCAAAATTACCACGGAAGCTGCAGCTGTTGCTCCTAAAGTGCATACAGATAGTTGCATTAGGAACATCCATCCTGCTCATCATTAGTTTCTCCCAAGCAAATTCTAGTCTGGGGAGCTGATTTCTTTGGGATCTAGTGAAGTGGGTGGATTCCCTAGTCATGGAACAGTTGAAGCATTGCACAAACTCTCATCTGCTATAAATTTATACATGATGACAAACTTAAAAGGTGCACTATTAAAACTTCATGTTCAAGAATAATGTTCATTTAAGTATTTGAGCATTCTCTCTGAAGTCATTAAAGACTGAGGTTTACGTAAAGCAAATGAAGAGTTCCCCTTATGCCTTCAGAGGCATGTATCCTGTTCCTGTCCTTGGGGTCAGCCAGCTCTGCACGTACGCTCAAGGACAAACGAGGCCTCAACACTCACTATATTATCAAATTTGCATATGAAGTAGCAAAAAAACTGGTGATAAACAGAAAATCCAGACCTTTGGCTCAGCACTTGTCCAGTTATTAAAATCAGTTGCTTTAGATGGCATCTGAAATTAATCCATTTCTCCTAATGCACTTTACACAGTACTCTGTGAATAATAGCTTAGAGTAAATCTAATTATGCAGTTTGACCTCCTAGTTTATGCAGCTGAATTTATAAGGCAATGCAAGGCTGCTCCAATCATCTTTGCTCTAGTGCTGTGATCCTTAAAATCCGTAAGATGAAAATTTCAATAATGCAGCACTATTTATAACAGACAGAAGCTAGGAATTTGGGTTAATTCCTCCAGCCTTATTTTATTCCCCACATAGGTTCCCTGTTGTCACAAATATTATTAGCATATGAAATCTGCTGACTGCTAAAGTTTGGGGAATTCCAATACTGAAGGAATTCCATACCTTAAATCTAACACAATTTCTAAAGCAGACCCTCTTCTAATGTATACTGTAAAGCTTTCCTGGTTGGTTCAAAACTTAGTGAAAGTAGCCAGGAGCCTGGAGCTCTGGCATACAAACAGAGGGCCACAATTCCATCTCTTGGCCTGGAAAGGCAGTTGCTCCCTTTCTTTTGGGAGATGCTTGTGATGCCACCAAAGTGGGGCCCCAACATTTGCCTTTTTTCAGAATCTCATGGCTGGCCCCGAGTGCAGTGATTACATTATGGGGCAGAACACAGACTAGAAATTTGGCCACTGAGCAGCCAGAAGAAATGGAGAGGAAGCAGAGTGGAAACGAGCAGACTTGGGAAAAGGAAACTGGGAAGGAACAAAGAGAGAGTTGTAATCAGAAATCATCTGAAGCAATGCTGTTAATACATTATGCATAACAATGTCCTTGATGACAGCCCAGGACTCTCAGCTTGGGCCAGGGAACTGTCAGCTAGAAAGGAGTAAGTTGTTACGTAGGTTCATGCTATTAATAGTGACAATGCTCAGTAAATCTTACCTTGTGTGATGTAAACAAGTTTTTATTCCTGTGGCTCGGGACAAGTCCTTCTAAATCCAGAATTTATCTGTCTCCCAGCTACACAGACCAGAGGTCCAGCTTTGCAGGCAGAAGTGAAGCACCATGATACTGAGCACTGCACTGGGTGCATCCATTTTTAGCATAAATAGGTATGATTCACCTTCCTCTTGCAAGATGTTGATCTTCTCTGTTCAGTTTCTCCTCCCCTTCCCACATTATACCACTCCAAAATGAACTCTTCCCTCCCTTCTGTAGCGCATTCCCTCACACACAAGCTCTTTTGCTTTATGTGAACTCAAGTATTTGTGACAGTCAACTGGGAGGGGGACAAGTGGTTCCTACCTTTGTCTGAAAGATTTGGTGCAGCAGGAGGGTGGGAACTACATTTCCACAGTCTCCAGAGAGGTCTTGCAGCCTGGAGAGACAGCCTTACCTCTTCCAGTGCTTCCTCCAAATATGATAATTAAATCCTTGAATCCAAAGATGACAGCTTCAATGGGGAGACTGAAGTCCACAATCGCAAAGCTTTCTAAACCCCTTCCTCCTACAAGGTCTGTTAAAGAGCTCCGGTTCTCCCTGGCAAAGGGGGGTGTGTGTGTGTGTCTGTGTGCGTGTGTGCATATGTGTTCAAACTGTGTGTCCCACAGACTGGGTAAGCAGGTAGAGCTGGAACTGAAAGAGGACAGACTCAGATTAGATATGAGGAAGAAATTATTTACTGTGAGGTTGGTGAGACACTTGAATAGGTTGCTCACAGAATCTGTGAATGCCTCATCCCTGGAAGCATTCAAGATCAGGCTGGATGGGGCTTTGAGCAATCTTGTCTAGTTGATCTAGAATATGCTCCTGCCCATGGCACGGGGCTTAGAACAAGATGATCTTTAAGGTCCCTCCAACCCAAACCACTCTGTGATTCTAAGAAATACCTTCTCAGTCCTTCACAGTGTGCCTTACTTTATCATCAGAGGGAAGCAGAGAGTCAGTCAGCCAGTCTTTAAATACCGATGCAGAGGATACTTCAATTTATTTTTGTTGGTTTATGCCTTTTTCCAATGGTTGCCTTTGAGCATCACTCACAGACAAGACACTTTCCTCTCCTTCCAGGCCAGAAAAAGCTCTTTCCCCAAAATGGTCTGGAGAAGAACAGATACAGTCTACCCAGCAATTAAATTTGAGAGTTTCCAAGAACTGCAGGATTTCCCAAGCATCAATACCTGCAAATTTGGTTCAACATTCAGACTTGTTCTTCAGCAAAGAAAAAATGTTGACTAGATTTACCTTTGGTTTCCAAATTTAATTTATGGGCTCCCTGAGCACTGAAATATTTGGCACTTCCACCTACGTAATTCTGAGTGCTTTGGCCAGGGGACCATGGATTACTCTGTATTCTCAAAGAGGATGCGGCTGGAAGCAAAGTTCCCTTCTGACATCAGGTTAGAGCTGCCGTTAGTGAGCTGACGGCTCGTGCTACGGGGGAAGGAAGAGAAATATTTCCTGGATTCATAAAGAAAGGACCCTGGAGTCGTCAGTAAATGGGAGAAGAAGTGAAGATGACTAGTGTTGTATTGATTGCTGTCAGCAAGCAACTCAGAGTACAGTCCCTTCCAAACTCTTTTTAAGGAAAAACAAAAGACTAGGGAACAGAAGCCATTCAGCCCAGTAAATCAGGATGGACAGTCCACCGCTACACTGGGTAAATGAGCTGGTCCAGTTCCTACCTCAAAATAGCAGAAGCTGGAAGGCTAAGCCCACTTAACTTCAACCACCTTTTGCTAATGTGGGACCTTAAACCACACATTTTGGGGGATCAAGAAACAAGAGTGCTACTGGTTGCATTACAATGAACAAAATAAGCAGCAAAGTACTGCATGTGGGTAATAAAAATAATAGCCAGTGGGAAACATGAGGAATCACTTAAATGATGCAAGAGAAACGATATACATCTGAGTATATTTTTTCATAGGCAAACAGATGAAAACTGGTCCTCCAGCAAAGCTGGGGTACAGCCAGGGACTTAGATGTTGCAATGTTTTAATCGGCAGATTTCCTGTTGCCTAGTAGACTCCTCAGCCAGGAATTAGACACTCAAGATACAATTCCCAGGGAGAATTAGGTACCTTAGAATAGTATTCCTAGAAACCAGCACACTGATCATGAAGTTATTTACACTGCCCTGGAGAAACCACAGCAGAAGAGAATGGGACCACAGTCAGAGACAGCAAAAATATCTCTCTGCTTAGTCTGAATCTGCTCCTGATGGAAGGTGTTCACACCCAGGTAACTCTTTGTCACATAAGGATACATTGCTCTTTCTTCACCTCCCATTGCCTCCAGTATTCCAGTAGCTAGATCATTCTCCACAAAGAACTCTGCCAGAAATTGACCTTCTCCTTTTGCCCTCTTATTAAGTGTACATGAGTAATATTTATGTGAAATCACCTGAGAGATACATCCAAGAAACAACTATCCCAAAGAATATTTATGTGATTTTACCCAGCTAACACTAAAATGTCTCTGCATAAGCAGAATCTGTTTAGGTAATCTTATCATTCAGACAGCTGTATACTGCTTGCAAGCAATCTCTCCACTGATTTCAGTTCGTCTGCAGATCTTAAGGCATTGAAGAAACCTGCTTTAAAATAATTAAAATATACTTCTCATTGTCCAATTCAGAATAATCTTGACAGTCTAGCCTTAGAAAAACATTTTGAAATTGCCATGAATTATATATGCTTTAGACTTGTATTAGGGCTTTTTTAAAATTTAAGATAAAAGTGCACTAAGTAATTTTCAATGCAGCATCACTCCCAGTCTCAGATTCAGCAGATTTCTGTCTCTAGGCTGCCAGTGAAACTTTCTTTCTGTAGGCGAGTAATTTTCATTAGTTCCTTATTTAACTCTTTAAGACAGGTTTCCCTACTAGATAACCACTGCAATTTGAAACCACAGGAAAGCAAACTGCAAACCTCTTTGCCCAGAATGACTGCAAACATGCTAGCAAACATGCACTCAATAAACAAAACAGCCTTTAAGTTAATGAGGATGCATGCCAATAGCCATCATGTTTTCTGCTATGTGAATATCCTAGACTGAAAGGATTGAGATAAGTAGGACTCAAACAGTGCTGGTGATGTAGACATTTGACTTAACAGTTAATGGAATGTGCTTCAGAACAACCTACTGGATCTGGTATGAGTAAAAAGAATAAAAAAACAGATTATTTTTCTGACCATACAAGACCATCTCCCACCTCTCAACAGTACCCCAGACTACCCCCCTGTTATAGTTAAGGTTATGTGGGATATTATTAGTGGCAAAACTCTGTCGAATAAACAGGACCCACTTAGCAATCAGCTGGACAAAACAATAGCAAATGGACCACAGAAACAATAATCCTGTGCTGGCAGAGATGGACACTGGATGATCTAATTGACCTTCTGCATTTGAACCTTGTCATCTATCACTGGCCATGGGCTGCAGAAGAATGAAAAATGTGTAAGATGAAAACAGGTTTAACAATGGAAAAAGAAAACACAAATGCAAACGCAGAGTGAATACGATTGCTCAAGATGCAAATTATAACCAGACCCAGAGACAGATTAAGAAATGATGAGTATACTCGGAGTGCCAGGCTCCAAATAGTAGGTTACTGTAATGCCTCCTTTTTAACCCCACTCAGATACTGAGCCAGCAGTAAACTTCATTTGCAGGATTTGGCTCTCCCCATGTTCAGGACATAGGTAGAAATACACAGTCAAAGCTCCAGTTTTACTTCTAGGTCCACAGCACTTTAGAGGCAACAACCTAGACTTCATTTTTCAATAGGAAGAGTCACAGAAAGTAGCTCATTTCATCCGAGGCAGCCGAAGGCTGAATAAAACCTGTGTATGGCATAACTAACAGATCCCCTCTGAATACAGCTCTATAAACCCTGATTTCCCAGTTTATACTAGAAGCTATGTGAATGCTAGTGCTGCCATTAGCTGAAAAAGCACCTTGGATTTCTACTATAAGCACTCTGAAAATCTTTGATTCGTAGACCAAGTTAATCTGTGTTTCTTCCATCTCTGCAGCCAGTTCCATTAGGCTAGACAGGGCCTGAGGACAACAGCATGCTAAGTGCTTCTCAACAATCTCACTCCTTCAAGATTCTCCATCTCTTTTCCCAGGCCCATCTCAGGCACATCATCTCCTCAGGCAAAATTCAGAAAAAGAGACTGTTCTCCTGCTCTAGAATTGTTTCTCCTCCCTTTCTTTGGGAAACAATGGACTTGCTCCCCAATTCCTGGTAAAGAAGCAACTCCAATGCATCCCCACTTTGTGATGAAGCTCAAATGCAGAAACTTTATAAAGGAGAGAAAAGCAGTAAAAGTACTCATGAGAAGCCACAGCTCTGCTCTCTTTCATCTCTGCTACTCAGCTCAAGGTCCACAGAGCATGAGGGTTTCTACAATATCAGGAGGTGGCTGGTAAAATGACTACACCTTGCTTCAAACAAACCCACAGCTTCCAAGCAGGTTTGCTGACAAGCATCACCACCTGCTAGAGAAAACAGTGGGAGCCAGTCCCTCAGCCATCAGTTTTTCAGGGTTGGCAGGACTTACTGGAAGGCATAAAGACATTTTTATTATCAACACGTCTAATCAAATCGTTCGATTACAAGATTAACCTAGGATTTTGCAAAGTGATTAGCTTGATTGCCAAAGATTTTCTTACTTATTACTGACCCTTTTTTTCCAACAAAGAGAGGGATTCAGAAAGGTTCATAGATTTTATAAGACTACACCATTCTTCAATTAAGAAAGGTTGAGAAATACTACCCTTTTTCAAACTATTCAAAGACATTACAAATCCCGCTGCTCTCTGCCATATGATTTTCAAAGCAAGATTAAGAAGGGAAAAATATAACCTTAAAACATACAGTTCAACCTCTCCTAAGATCTTTGCCGCAATAGAAATGGAGCTGAATGTATATGAGTGACCGTCTGTTTTGAAGTTTTACAATTTCTTCTCTTACAAGTAGAATTAATAATAAGTCTAGGTTCATTTTATTCTTCAGATTCTTGCTGTCCTCTGACTCTAACAAAATGTCCCCTAATCTCAGAATTACCCCAACAGCTCTCATAAGCTGTTACAGGTCTCTGCTGAACAACTTCTTTGCAAATCAGATTAACACAGAATAATTTCCTTGGCCAAGAAAACCAAGAATTCAGCCAAGAAAAGAAAGAAAAAAAACCCCAAACCTTTCCCCTAAATTTTTATGCATACACACAACTGTAATAATATTTGAGCATATTTTATCATCAAAATCAACTACTTCATTCTTAAACAACTTACAATATCTAGCCAGTCATCCAACTAAACTGCTGGTCTGTCCAAACAATTAGTCATATTTTAAACCAAAGATAACATGCAAGATCATGGTTTCCATAATAAATAAATTGATCATTTTAGTAGAAACCATATTTTGTATCTGTTTCTCCAATGTATATATGTTATTGTATGTATTTCGAGGTAGTTAATACTCAGATTACAACTACTGGAGAACAGAAAAGAAACTGAGGCTGGCATAGATCCTACCTCATCCTGAGTTTCTGCTTCTGGGGCAGGAGTCAGGAAAATGAAAGGTCTCAGTAAACTTCAGTCTGTCATAAGTAATGAGTAGGAAAGAGGAAGGGGAACCCACAAAGAAATCAAAACAAGATGAGACATTGAGATTTCAAACTCCCTTCCAATTTATATAAACAGAGGCTATTTCCTTTGGGTTTAAATCTCTACCCCACCTTATTGATGTGTTGTACATTACAAGTAGAGGTCCTAAGCATTTACTTGACTGAATAACCACAGTATGTTGCCAGAAGAACAGTGATCACCAGGAGAACTCAGGTCACCATTGATCAGCCCAAGAAACTGGCTGCTCTACCACCTGCTAAGGGGTGAGCGGTTTTACTGGCATGAAGCAGACACGTCTGGAGACAAGGACATGGTACATTTTGGTCCTTCCAGGCCCTGCATCTCAGGGCACAACGTCCTGCTTTGCCAGAAGAGGTATCCACAACATAAAATAAAGCAGATGGCCTCCTGCTGCAGTGGGGAGAAGGCAAGAATGTGTGTCTGTCATGGCCCGAGGCACCCAGGCACAGAATCCCTTCCCCCTCTACCTGCCCATCTGGGCACGTGCTCAGAGGAGGCTCGACACTGGCTGCTGGTACATCACCTCAAAGCTGGTTGCAGCAGGACTCCCTGCTCACAAGGACTGGCTGAAACAAAAACTTGGGACATTCAGAACAAAACCCCAGGCTTTGGAGTGAGGTTTTTTTGGATAGGTTTTGTTGTGGGTTTGTTGGGGTTTTTCTTCAGGCAGATATTTATGTTGCAGAGAGCACCTGAACTAACTGAAATCTAAGTAACAATGTGGGGAAGGGAGAGTGGTAGGAACAGGGAAAGGAGTGGAAAACATTGGTCATCAGTAATTCTGTACTTATAATAATTTCTAAAACTGGCTAAGCACCTAAGCATGTGCAAGACTGCATAGGCTGAAGTCTTCCTTGGATCACCTCCAAGATATTAATGCCGGTACACTTAAAATTAATGAGATTACATATTTTGTGAGATCCCATCATTTCTAGTTCAAGGTAAGAAGAGTAATTTTGGAGGGGTCAGTTGCCCTTTCTTATCCAAAGAACTCATGCCAATGCAAAATTACTAAGTGGGAGAAGAATTAAAGCATGTCACTGGAAACTGGACAGTTTAAGTCTCTGGAGATATACATCTGACTTTATAGTTCATTCTTTGATATCTGTTTTAAAGACTGAAAGAGTACAAGCAATTGAATACCAATTAAACAATTACAGTGTCTGCAGGGCATTTTTTCCATTACCGTTTCAATAACCTAAATGAGGTATTTTAGTTATTTCTGCAGAATCCAGATTTACAAAAACACACACACAAACACACATGCCTGTGAATGCTGAAACCCCTGGTTTATAAAATCACAGTTTCGTTGTCCTCAGTTCTGAGGACAACACGGCAGATTAGTTGGACACTTTTCAAACTGCTCTATCTTACTTTCCAGATGCTCCAAATCTACAAAGAAAAAGGTAACTGGTACCAAAAGACTCTTTGGGTAGCAGGCTTACAGACTGGCAAAACCTTAAATCAAGAAGCTGTTAGGTCTCCTTTTCTCAGCCCAGACTATAAAGAGGATGTAATATTTCAAGGTAGAAGACTGTCAGGGAAGATATTTGCCTCTGCTTCTATAAATAAAGTATGTTTGGCAGCTATAGGGAAATGGACATTAGGTACTTTTCCATCTCTAGAGTCTATTATTCTAATTTCATTTAGGAATAGCACTGCAGTATCCATCTGTAGCAGTGAAGGCTAGAAAGGCAGAGGTAAGCACAGGCATAAAATCACAGGCTGCTGGAACAGGCAACACGATCAGTTGTCCATATCTGGTAGCCAGTAATCTGATAGTCCAGTCTCTTACCTTTAAGACTGAAAATATCCATCATCATAGAAAAGGAATTCATTTCTAGAAGAACAAACATAAAACTTTGAAAATAATCTTCTAGGCATGTGCTGGAGGTACCTCACCACCCTGTCCTCTGTCTTTGTGCTGATATGTTGCATCCTGTGAAGAAGGTTAAGACAGATTCTCTGAAATGTTGTGATGTTTTTCTCTTCACCTTGTCACAGCTCTGCTGAGTGATGGAGGAGAATCTGAATGGTCTGTTCTCTCTGGAGTGAGAGAATAGTGTCAACACCGCTCTAGATTTCAGATCTGGCAAAACATGCCTGAAGGTGACATGGAAAAACAGTAAGTTTTAATGACATCTCCATTCTCATGACATTCGTGAAGGTCTGGTATTAATAAAATAAAGCTTTCTGAAAAATTAAATGTTATTCTTGTGTGTTTCATACTGAGTATCTCAGCCCAATGCTGAGTTAAATAAGGCAGACACTTGCTTTAGATGTGGAGTAATAAGCCCCAATTACTAGTTTTAATGAAATTCTATGAGTGTGCTTTAGTCCCAGCATCATCAGTGCTCACAAACTAGCAATGCTCCATACATAATTAGGCTTTCTTGACATTAGCAAACACAAATATTCATTTTTTACTTTGAAAATCCTAACACAGATGGGTCTTTTGTGGAAAAAAATCTTTCAGACAAGCTTTGAAGATAACTGCTACAATAAAGGATTGATTTTCTCAGTTTCCTAGGTCTTGATCTGTTTGCCATAGTTTAGTATAAAATAAAGAGTACCTTTCTTACAACTGACAAGTCAAAGTGAATGAAACCAATTGTGCAGATTGCAACCTTTGAAGTATTACTTGAAGATCATACTAATTGCCCAGAAAAATTTAACAGCAATTGATGAATTCACTTGCATTGCTGCTCATGGTATCAAGCAGTTTTGTTTAAGAGAACCTGCACTGTATTGTGGACAATTACTTTATATTTCAGTATGAATTTCCCCACTAATTTTAAAACCATTCTCTCTTTCATGTATTTTTAGTACACTGCTGTGGATCATTGGTTCTTTCCAGTCAGAAAGCAAATGAGTGTAAATGGTGCCCAAAGCACTAAAATATTAAATGCTACAACAGAACCCTCCAAAATACTAGTTTCACAGGTAAATCCAGATTGAGATTTACAGGTCCAAAACATTTTGCTTCCCTGATCTCCTGGCACAGAAAAAAATCCCAGTGAACATACAGCGTGGGCTGCTTGTGATCAGCCCTAGAAGAAAAGATGGTGGAGTGGTTTGGGAGCTAGCCTGAGATTTGGGAGATGTTCATTTTCCTGCTACACTATGATGTCATGTATGACCTTGGGTACGTCACATTTCTAAAACTAGAACATCTATTTCATAAGGATCTTCTGAGGACAAATGCATTCAAGAATGCAAGACACTCAAATCATAAAATCATAGAATGATAAAATGTTTTGGGATGGAAGGGACCTTAAAGATCATCTCGTTCCAACCCCCTGAATACTTCCAGGGATAAGGCACCCACAACTTCTCTGGGCAACCTGTTCCTGTGCCTCATCAACTTTGCAGGGAAGAATTTCTTCCTAATATCTAATCTAAACCTACCTGCTTTCAGTTTAAAATTGTTACCCCTTGTCCCATCACTGCACTCCCTGATAAAGAGTCCTTCCTCATCTTTACTGTAGGTCACCTTTAGGTGGGAGGTTGCTGTAAGGTCTCTCTCGAGCCTTCTCTTCTCCAGGCTGAACAACCCCAGCTCTCTCAGTCTATCATCATAGGAGAGGTGCTCCAGCCCTCTGATCATCTTCATGGCCTTCTCTGAGCCTGGTTGAGCAGACCAATGTCTTTCTTATCTTGAGGGCCCCAGAGCTGATGGTTTACATAAATACATAAAGTAACTATGTAAGCTATGGGTTTAGAAGCTCCTAGGATAAGAAGTCCTAGGTTCCCCTACAATTTGTAGAAAGAATGGCCACAGCACCGTATAGAAGGAGTTTTAACCCTCCTTTCCCAAAGGCAGATGTTCCACACAGGAAGATGTTCCCAGCCTCAGAGATGAATGTGTATTTGCATTTCACACACAGAAACCACCTTCCGCTTCAGGCAGGATATAAAATCTGGGTTACCCAATGCAGTCACAGCTGCTCTGTCACTCTGGTACTGCTTCATCATCTCAGCATATAGGGTACAAATGTCCCCACATGGCATCTCATTCCAAACACCTCCCAAAACTCTGTGTGCTGCTGTCTTCTTGCTAAGTGTTGCTACACAACACTGCTGCTTCCCCATATTATTCAGGGTGGAATTAACTAGTCATTGATTTCACACCTTGAGTCTTGTTTACATCCTGCTACTCAGACCTTATCTGCACAGACAAGGGCTGTCTCACAAAACCAAAGAGAGAAAAAACCCACCACGCCAGCACATCCTCACACAAGCTAGCCATGCATGCTCTCTGAAATGCCTGTTGCAGCATCCAAATGAAAGGAGTGCTAACACGCTGAGAGTGTTGAATGTCCCACGGTCTTTCCAAAGGAAAGGACTGACTTCTCAGTAAAAATCAGTAGCCACTGAGATATAAAATCCAAATAGGCCAAAGACCAAATCAGAAACATACTGCATTTCAAAACGGCCAGTTTCACACAGTTGGAAACTATTATGAGCCAAATCAGCTTGGAGAGAGAATTTTTGAAAGGAAAACAGAAGTAATAACTGGGAAGTACTAAAAAAGAGAGCACTAAATACACAAAAGATCCACAATCACACACAAAAAAAAGGAAATTTCTGCTGCTGTGACACACATTACTACTCTACATCTTAAAACCCTCCAGAATTTTAAGAGAGGCTGCAAGTGCTGCAGGGCTGCAAATCTCTTTATGCCCCTCCAAGGTGCTAAATCCCACAGACCGTAAGCCCAATTGTACTTCCAGGTTAACTTTGGCAAACCCTGTCCCTGGATCACAAGAAGTAAAGCCATGATATAGCTGTTCAGTTAAAGGAAAAATGTAATAAAGCATTAAGTCTCAAGTGAATAAATAACCCTCAAAGACAATCCTTCTCACTTTATCTTTCCTTTTCTCAAAGGCATGGTCAATCTGTGTTGAGAAAGGCAGCTAATGACTTTTCTTCTTCAATTTTCCAAAATTTTACATTTAACAAAGCCCACAGTAATACAAAAGCTGCTTTCCTTCTGCCAGGAGGTTCTTGGGCAATTCAGCAAGGAGCTGCACAGCCTCCACAGTCAGCCTGAGGTCTAGGAGTGATGTGACCAAGACCACAATTTCATGACCACTGTGAGCTGATCCAACAACTCACCTCTGAAGAAAGAAATTCACTCTCTTGGGGTAATCTTTTTCATCAAAATAAACAGTTTTCTGCTTTCTTAATATGTTAAACTGGCACATGAAAGGCTCCAGTAAGAATCAGAGTCAGTGTAAGAGTGGGCAACTCTGCTGAGCAGAGGGTGAGAAAAACCAGGACCAGGGAATAGGGAAAAGGCACAAATCCACTCTCCTTTCAGCAGCACTGCACTGTCACATTAGCTTCCATGCTTGTGAAACCGCAGACTGAAGACCTGCTGTGGAGCAATAACTCTTCTGCAGAACCTTTCATGAAATGTAATCCAGTACTCCCGAGGAGGATTCATATCTCACCCATCAGCTCCCCCAAAGCATCACACGTATACAGTAACAATCTAGTGAAAGGGGAAATAAAATTAGCTGTGCAAATATTTAGATAACCCGCAAAAAAAGAAGTAGGCAGCAGCTTATAGAAATCAGAAGCGAAACCTGATAAGATGGCCAAAAGGACAAAAGGAAATAAATTCTGTGACTGCCAAAAGACAGCAAGAGAGATTTTGATCTTCATTGTTTGCTCCCCTGTGTGTTTGTTGAATTATTGTTTTTTCTTGTATATCAAAACCTAATTGGTTCATTTTTGGATGGACAAAGTAGATGAAAATGAAGATGCAAAACTATTTCATAAATATTCTTATCCAGCTTAGTAGAAGCAGGAGCTGATATGCGTATATGAAATGACGATGAATTAACTGGCCTCACTGTAAACAAAGAAGTACTGTGAAAAACCAGACATTACCAACTAGAGTAACTCATAAATGAGGAAGTCTGAGTTGTACACATCCAAGAGCTCCAGAACAGCAGACTGACAAGCGCCCTGGACTTGGTCCTCTCCACTAGAGGACTAGAAGGAGACTAACATAACTGCTTTAGATACGGCATTGACACGAAAGATTAGGTGCCGCCTTGAGGCTATATTCACCCCTACCTCAAGGCATCCTGAGAAGGAAAGATGATCTTGGTCATTGTGCATTTCCCCTGCTCCTTTGAAGCAGCTGAAGGCAAGTTAAGGTAGCCTCTCAAGCATCTGCTCATACTTGCTGAGTAGCAATGGGGCAAAACAGCAGCTAAGAGGGACAAGGAGCACATTCTATAAAAACCAAGCCCTCAGACCACTTGAAATGAGTGGGAAGGGTAAGTCTCTCACAGAAGAAGGGTTGCACATCTTTTCATGCCAGCAGGCACAGTGTGCAGACAGGAGATGCTGCTGTTCCTACACCATCCCCCTATAATGCTTCAGCAGTGGCCACCTCCTTCACAATCTTCACATTTGCCAGAAACTGCAAGTAGGCAAAGTTGCTGTTATTCATAATTATTAATAGACTATGCCATAAATATAATTGATAGTATTCATGTGCCTTCTCTGTGCAGGAGGTGCTCCAGCCAGGTCAGCAAGGCACTTAGAACATCTGCAGTGAGGAGCTCCTGCCACCCCCTCTGGCAAGTGCCGGCATCTAAGCCAGCTGCGCTCACAAGTAGCTTTCAGATGCCTTTGTGAGCTGCAGCCTCACACCTGGAGGGGCTGCACTGGTGAAGAGGACACCCTCTGGCAAGGCCACAGGAAGAGGCTGTCAGTGTCCCACGGCTCTGCTTGTGTTCGGAGCACTGCCTTTCCTCAGACTCAGCACGGTCATGAAGAGAGGAACACACTGAGCAAGGGCTTAATAAGCTCACAAGTTTCCAGAAGACTCTCCTGGCGAGAGGGAGGAGGAGCAGGAACATGGGCCAGTTGCCAGAGATCGATCTGTCCAATTTAAAGAAATTAATTTAATTGTTTGTGGCAGTAGGAGAGCTTGCAGCTGCTGGCTCCAGGAAGCCTGGACAGTAAGACAACACGGCGCCAACACTGCTAGAATTAAGCAAGTGAGGTGAACACCCAACAGCCGGGACTCAGGAAGCTTGGTGGCTTCATGTCCCTGCAACGACAGACTTGCACACCCAGCA